ATAGAAATAAACTGAATAGATTTTGATACGTCACCATTTAATCACACAGGTCAGGGCTGCTTCAGATAAACAGAGTATTAGGAAGGAACTCGTGATGTCATCATGATAGAGATGCTAAATAGAACAGCCTGTTTTTCCTGGTCAGTCAGAGCAGATCCTGCTAATAGAAGCTGCTCATCTTCTGCTGCTCCTTCCAGGTCTAACGGGCCTGCAGCCGCTCCTGCAGCCGCTCCTGCAGCGGATCCACAGCGGTGGTTAGATCCACGGAGCCATCGCGGCTCCTCTGGGCTCCCAGGGGCCCTGCTTTCTGACAACAACAGCGCGGTTGTGTAACGAGCTGAAATCAGGGCGCTGACATCAATGAGGCGCTCGCGCTGCTTAAGGAAACACGGTCCATCAGCCAATGAACGGGCCGCGTGGCGTGTTTGATCAACCACAGCTTCCACGGAGATACATGGAGCAGACGGAGCAGGGAATGACTCGCGGATCTTAGATCCGTCAGGTCGCAGAACGTTCAGCTCGCGGGCCCCGTTAATGAGCTCATAACGCTGATGTTCTCCTTACCTGAGCTCAGCCTCCATGATGGCGGACGGTTCGCGCCGCTTCCTCACCAAGCAGCAGCTAATTAACGGGAGAGCCGCTCCTCCGCAGCGCCATCCCGCTGCTGGCCGCACAGCACCGCGGCCTGGGCAGGCCAGGCAGTTAGCTAGGAGCAACCTTTCCACGGGCGGCCTTTAAAACACGCATGACAGCCGTGTGATGCAGCCGGAGGCTCAGCGGGGATGAGGTTATTACCGGCCCGCATCAATCACACGGTCAATCCCGCAGAATGGCTGGCTCTCTGCGGCTCCGGCTCAGTGGGTGGGGCCAACCAATCAGAGAGCAGGAAGAAGAGTGATTGACGTATCTCTAACCAATAGCTGACCTGAATTAGCGGGGAAGCTGGAGAGATGCAGGAAGAACAGCCAATCAGCGTGGAGCTTTATTCTGCGGGAAGGCGGGACTCACAGGTGACACTGAGCTGCCAGGGAGAACAGATTAAAGGGACGGAATCATTAAATAGATCCAGCATGTTATCTATCTATCTATCTATCTATCTATCTATCTATCTATCTATCTATCTATCTATCTATCTATCTATCTATCTATCTATCTATCTATAGGAGTTTTAAGATTTAGAAAAGAAAATCTTAAATTTAAAGGTCCTATAAATAATTTAGAAGGAGAAATAGAGGAATAATTTACTTATTTTTTCGAAATTCCATTTTTTATCCATAAATTTTACCCATAAATTCCATTTTAATACCCATAAATAAAGAAATAAAAATATGTGCTCAAAATTAGTGGGCTTTTTTCTGTCGTATTGGATATTTCTGCTTAAAGTTTGAAAAATTAAAGAATAATCCACTTATTAAAGGTTTAGATCAGCTAACTAGCTAACATTGGTAGCATATTGTCAAGTCTTGTAATGTGAGAGGTATTGTAGAGTTGGATGAACAGCGGCGTACCATTTACCATTTCAGCTGAAGGTTTAATGTACATGATGAAAATAAAGTGGTCCAATAACTGTGCTCTGAGATGCCCCATATGTCATATTCATTTTCTCAGATTGTCATTACCAAACAATAATTAATATCCTAAAAACTTTATAACTACTAAACAATAGTATTTGTTTTTTCCAGCTCAGATGTTCCCCTGTCAAAATAGAATGCAATAGAAAATGCTTTATTGTCCAACAATGGGGAAATTCTGGTGTTTACAGCAGCAAAAAGGTAATAGAAAAAATGTCCCAAACACAGAGATGGAAGATGAGGTGGTTTCCTCCAAGTTTAATATCCAAATGGGCAACAGAAGGAAAAGTCTACAAACAAATGACTGAAATCCAGGGAAAGCACACACGAGGATCAAAAATGACAACCTTTCCTTTCCTCTGATCATGGAGCAGCCGGCTTGCTTGGTCTCGCAATGAATCCTGGGATATCCAAGGCTACATCGGACCCGTCCTTCAAATCGGGCTAAAAGAAGGATGCATTTTAAAGCCACATAACGAGGAGTCTTGGAATCCGACCAGACTTCGGCGCCGCGTTATGACATCATCGACCTTCGAATCTGGCCTTCAGAGGACGCAGCCCATGAATTCAAACACAGCCAATATTGTTTGAAAATCAGTGACCAATGTAATTCTAAAGAAGAGAATTAGGGACTGACTTTTGACTTACTTTTTTTCTCATAATTCTGACTTTAATCTCAGAATTTTGGATCTTAATGTTGATAGGCACCACGAAGGGAGAGATGTGGAACACTCAGCTTCACTGACAAAGATGTGGGTTGTTTGGGAGGGCCAGTGACACACTCATGGAAAATGACGGGTTCCTGGTGATGCTATTTGATTAATGGTAGAGCAGAAGGTGATTAAAGCAAGAGAGCTAGTCTCTAAAACAGACATGGATACGGCTGGATGCTAACATGTTTGTTTAGTCAGAATTCTGAGATTATAGTCAGAATTCAGAGGGAAAAAAGTAAGAATCCTGAGCTTAAAGTCAGAATTGTTAAAATTTTAAAATTAAATTCAGAGTTCAGAAGAAAAAAGTAAGAAGAGATTAAAGTCAGAATTTAAGGGGAAAAAAATCAGAATTATGAGAAAAAAGGGGGAGAATTCTGAGATTATAGTCAGAATTCTAAGATTAAAGTCAGAATTTGAGAAAAAAAAAACAGAATTCTGAGATTAAAGTTAAAATTCTAAAATTAAATTCAGAGTTCTGAAGAAAATAGTAAGAATTCTGAGAATAAAATCAGAATTTTGAGAAAAAAGTCAGAATTCTGAGATTTAAGTCAGAATTCTGAGATTAAATTCAAAGTTCAGGAGAAAAAATTAAGAATTCTGAGACTAAAGTCAGAATTCTGAGATTAAAGTCAGAATTCTGAGATCATAGTCAGAATTTGAGGGAAAAAAAGTCAGAATTTTGAGATAAAAGTTACAATTCTAAAATTGAATTCAGAGTTTTGAAGGAAAAAAGTAAGAATTCTGAGATTAAAGTAATTTTGAGAAAAAAGTGAAAATTCTGACATTAAAGTCAGAATTTAATGTTAGTAATTCTGACATTAAAGTCAGAATTTTGAGAAAAAAAGAGTTCTGAAGAAAAAAGTAAGAATTCTGAGATTAAAGTCAGAATTTGAGGAAAAAAGTCTGACTGTTTTTTCCCAATATTAAAGTGAAATAATATTTTAAAATCAGTTAACTGTTTTTATATTTTCAGTGGCCCTAATCCTGCTCTGCAGTAATTGTCTGGATTCCACCTGGTTAATTTTGCGTGACTACAGCGCCCTCTACCGGAAGTGGGCAGCCCTCGCTAACGCAGCTCTCCTGCTCGTGAGTAGCCGTTAGCTAGCAGCTCAGGTGAGGCTGAATAACAGCAGAGCAGCTCAGCGGAAGGTAAACAAACTCATGTTTTCACTTTTTATCAGCATATTTTTAACCAACCGGAAACTCAAACTGTAGAGGAATTTAACCGTTTGCTTCGCTAACTGACGTGTTTGGCGCAGTGACGTCATTCATGTCTAATTCGGGATAAACAGCGAGTTTCGGCTAAACTTCCGCTGCTCATGTTGGAGAGTTTTTTTTGTCTCTTCTGATTTGATCTAGCTTCTAAATATCTGTGTGATGGAGGGAGGGCGAGCACAATGCTAGGCTGTGCTAGCATGCTAACCGGTGTGGATGAATGAAGCAGGAGGACCGCACTGTGGCGGATACGTCACTGCGCTCACCTGTCCGCCCACCTGTGCCGTTACACAGTAGAAGACATCAAATATCATTTATTTCTGTAACTGTGGCTAACAGATTGTTTAGCTTCTGTGGGCCTGCTGCCGTTAGCCAGCCTAACTAGCTTTAAGCTCAGCTTATAAAGGAGCAGCAGTTCTTCTGATTGTAATTAAATGCGCAGCTTTCACCTCCAGCTGGCTGAACATCATTAGATCTACTGCTTCACCTAAACTCCTTACAGATGTACCACAGACCATTAGGGCCCGGATAGAGGTTTAATTTTCGAGAATAAAGTCATAAAAACATGAGAGGAATGTGGAGAATCATGTAAAGTTATACTTTGGCATCAGTTTGACAATTAAGGAAATATTTTTGCACACCGGCTTCTCATAATATTAAGACGTAATTCTCGTAATATGACCTTATTCTCAAAACTATTATGTTCCCAGCTCCATGGCTATGCAGTAAGCCCATATCATCACTCCTCCACCTCCATGTTTAACCATAGATTTAAGGTAGCAGATGTATTTGTCTTTTCTCCAACCACGGTGCCTGGGGTCGTGCTTAAAGCTTGTTAGCTTGGTTGTTGCTCTATAAAGGCCATGGTTACAGATGCCTGGTAACTCAATCAGATGCCACTAGTGACGGGTCCACTAACCGCGAGGCGGGGGTGCTGCAGGGACCTCATAGAGCTGTTCCTAACTCACTGACTCACTAAACTGGGTTTAAAAACGTTTCTGTCTACATGATGCATCTGCTAAAAATCTTTTGTGGTTTATGATTAAAATGATCCAGAATGTTGGAGCCTGAAAGGAATAGAAACGTTTCAGTCATTTTTATTTTTATTTTCTCCTCGTTTCATCCTTTTCCTCTCAGTTATTCTGATGAGGAACCGACTCTGAACGGATGTCAACCATCAGATAACTGACCTGGAACTGACGGCCCACGGATGAGCAGACGCCGTCTTGGCTGTATGTCGACGTGTTTCAGCGTGCTCATAACTTAATCCACGTATTCCAGCGTTTTTGCCAGATTTTCCGTACGTCAGGTATATGCTGGTCTATATCGTCAAGGTGTGACAGCGGGTCAATCAGCAATCAGCCTTAATGACAGGGAAATAAAACCCGCTGAGCAGGCAGAGCAGAGACACTAACAGTTATGCTGGCAGGTATTGAATCATCAAATATGCTCCTGACTCCAAAGCAAGCGTCCACCACTAGAGCTTAGTTCTCCAACTTTATTCCAGCCTCTTAATAACAAACATTTTTCTAAGCCAATCAGCAGCCAGGATCCCTCACCCACCGGCTCTCACAGCGGCTCCAAACCTCCAGAGAGACGCTTCATTTCTTACCGTGATTCCCAGTTTCCAAGGCAGGCAGTGGGCTCATCCCAAGGTCCGCGTTCTCCTGCACCATCCTGCAGGCTTTATTCCTAAAATGCCCGGTCGCTCCATGTCTCCACTCGGCGCTCGTTCAGGGACAGCATGGACACCTCAAAGCTTCCAGCTTTATGTCTGAACATCACTGCTGCATTTTAATAGGTGGAAATGTCTTCAGGAATAAAGATGGCCGGATGGTGAAGGAGAGCGAGGACCTTAGGATAAGATGGCCGCCTGCCTTGGAAACTGGGAATCACAGTAAGAAATGGACAATTAAACTTTAGCCGGTTTATCCAACGTTTTCCATTCTTATCTTTAGTGCTGACCAACTTATCTTACCAAAGAATATAAACAAAGCTCCGTTTTTTCTTTGACATTGATATTTTTCACATTTTTAACATAATTATTGATGATAGTCAGACACAATCTGGTGAATGAAGTCAGTTTGGTTCAACGTTTAATTTCCTCTTTAAAGGTTTCTGGTTGTCTCTATAATGATTGTTAGGGAACTAAACCTGTAAAAGTTTAAATAACATCGTTATTGATCCTGTTTTTAAACATTAAAGCAGGTTGTTTAAAAAAAAAAAAAAACCCAATCCTCTGAACTTTGACGTTTTGCTTCCCATCCAGGAAACTTTTTCAGTTCAAAATGTTTGAATTGAAATTTTCATGTTTTCTAAACTAAAACCAGGTTTTGTTGGGCTGCTGGATAAAACCTGGAACTAAACGCTATTTCTGACATTTTGAATTGAAAAATCTTCCTGGATGGAAGAGAAACGTCTTCAAACTTGGAAACAAAGTCCAGAGGATTTTTTAAACTTTATTGGAACGACTCTAACCTGGATGACTGAGGATCGTCTCCATTATTGAAGCAGAGGTTGGTTTCTAACATCAGTTAAAAATGAATGTAGTGCATCTTTTACCTTGGATTTAATGTCATTTTAGGATTTCCAAAATAAAATGGTGATTTATTTTATGTTTCAAAATGCTGTGATTAAATCTAAATGTGCAGATTGAAAGTGGACCCCCCCCCCCATTGTTTTGCTCCGATTGTGATCCAGATGGCAGAAAATGATGTTGATAACGAGCTTCTGGACTACGAGGAGGATGACGAGCCCCAGGGCCTCCCAGAGAGCGGCCCCCCGGCCAACAAGAAGGAGGTGAAAGGATCCTACGTATCCATTCACAGCTCAGGATTCAGAGACTTTCTGCTCAAACCAGAGCTGCTGCGCGCCATCGGTGACTGCGGCTTCGAACATCCTTCAGAAGGTAGCCGACCCTTCTTCAAATAATCCACTGAAATCTTCAAAATAATCCTCAACCAATTAATCTTAGCCGTGTTTAAACTAACGACTGTGGAGTAAGGGAGCTGAGACAGACGCATTCAGATTTATTTAACTTCCTCAGACGGAGAGATAGAGCTCTGACTGAGGCAACCTCAGAATATACATTTATATCTTACAAACTTCTGAACTTTCTCACACGCAAACATTTGGAGGAAAATCAACTTGAGTTGATCAAAGCCGTTCCCTGTCAGGTTAATCTATCTCTCACTGGTCAGATGGATCTCCTAATAACAGCAGTCCTCCATGTTTTTACTCCACACCAGCCCATTTCTTAATTCTAGTTTCTGCTACTTTTTAAGAATTAAAATCTCTCTTTTATAATTTTCTCCATTTTTTAGTTCAACATGAGTGCATTCCTCAAGCTATCCTGGGGATGGATATTCTCTGTCAGGCCAAGTCTGGCATGGGAAAGACGGCCGTGTTCGTGTTAGCAACGCTGCAGCAAATTGAACCTGTGGACGGCCAGGTGCGTTGGTTTTTAATTCAATTCTATTC